CTTTGAGGCGGACGACAAAGATTTTGAAGAATAAATTAAGAATTGTAAAATTATGAGCAAAGTCTTACTATTTTTTGCTCATAGTAATGCATTTATACAAATGGTAATTTTGATATCTAACTTGTGATCCTTTTTTTTTAAATAAAGAAGATATAAAATGTCTAATTATTCTATAAGCAATTAGTCTGACAACCATTTGAAACTTCAAAGCACCCTTGTTCTCTTTGTGCGCAAAACATAAATTCATTAAGAGTTAAAGATAAGCTAATCTAACCTATTAAGTATTTTCGAAACAAAAGTCGCATTCAAGACAAAGGTTTAAATCGTGTCTCAATTGTCAACTGTCTCCTTATCAGCAATCGTGTGAAAGAGAATTGCATGACACATTTAACGCAACTGAAACGTATTATCAAATACAAATGAAATGATGATATAGAAATAATTATTTCATAAAGAAAAAATTGTCAAAAATTAAATGAAGATGTAATTTTTTTTTGTATTTATATAATTATTTTTTTATAATTTGAATATAATTTTTTTTTATAATTTTGTATATTTTTTTAATTTCTATTATTTTTTATGTAATCTAATTTTTTTTATTTTTCCTTTTTTTTTAAATTAAATACTTTAATTTTATATAGTTTTTGTAACCATTAATAAATTATGTAAACATAGACATTCTTGGCTAGTAAAATAGGTATGATTTTTTTGAAATTCGACCATTAGTATTATTCGTTGATTTCAATAATTTTTTTTATGAAAATGTAGTTCATGCTGGTCAAAAACTATTTACACTCCTGGCCAAATTAATTGATATACTTTTCGAACATTTAGTAATAAACTTTGATGGTTATAATTAAATTTTTTGTGAAAATATAATATACATTGTATGTTAGAAAATATATACATATGTATATGCTACAAATTGAAAATCACAAACACCGTTGACCATATAATTAGCCACAATTTTCTTCAAAAAGTTTCGATCATTTATTATTATTTGTTAGTATTAATTAATTTTCATATTATATGAAAAAATTTATCTAAAAGTATATAAATAAAATTTAATAAACAATTCTAGAAAATGCAAAAAATGGTGCTGAGCTTTTAAAAGTTTTTGTTTGCAAAACATAATGAATTTGTTACATTGTTTATTTGAAATCTAAAATAAAATTATATCATATTTCAAGTTTCTGTTTGTAAAAAAATAGAAAGACAACATTGCAAAAATTTTATTTAAAAATTAAAACAAAACGGTTTCAATTTTAAAGATTTTGAATATAAAAAACTTAAGTTAAATAAAATTGTAGGACGCTCAAATTTAGCACAAAAGAAAAATATTTAACATTTAATATAAAATGATTTTATATTTCAAAGCTTTGTTAAAAAGAAAAATTATAATAACACTGTATTTTTTTATTTAATTTAAAACAAAATTATTTAAAATTTCAAGATTTTGGTTGCAAAAAAATTTTAAATGATATGGTAAATTTAATTATTTTTCAAATTAAAAAAAATGCATTGCACAAATTTATATAACATTTAAAACATAAAAAAATTATATTTCAATGCTTTGTTTAAAAAAAAATTTAATTAAATTGTCAAAATTTGTATTTGAAATTTCAAAAATAAAAAATTAGTTGCAGTGTTAAAGCATGATCCGCTCTAATATGTTTTTGTGCCAGTTTAAATTGGTCCAACCAGTTTATTGATTTTGCAGAATTATTTTTCTGTTCTGCGGTGTACATACATATATGTATGTACATATGTATCATGGTTTTTTTTTTTGCAGAAAGCGTGCATTCCTTATGCACGGCACCTCACGTAAAAAATATTGTAACGGTATTTAAGCATATTTATAACATTAATTAAGTGTACTTGTTTTGTTGAGTTTCTTTCATATACGTTTCACATGTTTTGAAAATACTTTTAATACAATTATTTAATGCTCAAAATTTTTTAAACTAATTTTTGCATTTTATATTTCTGCTTAAACAATATTTACCGCAATCAGTGAATTGTAGTCCATAAGCGACGCTCGAACAAACTGTGATGGCGAAGAGTAAAAATACGAAATTCTGCTGCATTATGATTTTTAATCAATTTTTGCTTCTGATTTATATGTAAATAGGAGCAAAACTCTCGCTTTTTAATATTTTTTACAGTTTCACTTTTATTTTTTTTATTAAATTATCGTCAAATATGAACCGTTCGCTAGCGCCGCTAAATATCTACTGAATTTTGTTGTATGAAAATGCAAAATATTAGCGCAGCAGGCTCGTTAGTCAAACCAAGAACAAGCAGCAATCGTCGGCAATGAGTAACAGAAATGATAAAGCTCGAGCGATATGGAGGGTCTTTGCAGTTGACTTTTCGTGCGATAGTGCACTATAATGTCATTGTTTGTGGGCTTGTTTATGTACATAATATGTATACATATATTTTTATAATACATATATCGTATATAGAAATTTGTATATAAATATATACATATGTACATATGTATATGTATGTGTAATGTATCACGGGTAGCTCAGAATTCAAATCTTTGAAACTAGTACCAAAGTAGTTATTATATTCATGTAACCTTAAAGACTTCACTAATAGTTAATTAAATGGCGTAGTTAGAAAGGAAATGAAAATCAAATGACTTTGGCGTGTATGTATGTATGTATATGAATATATATATGAACAAAACGAGAGCTACCGTATTCTAAACTATTGCTAGGAGAGTGGAAAATTAAATCAAAGCAGACGCTTTCTTCGAATCTTCCAAAGACTATTGAACTAGGAGAATTTCTTCAATTTTCCATAAATATGAGAACAGTTAATCGAACAAAAATAACTGGTATAAATCAGAAATACTGGAATAATTCAATTAATCAGGACAGATCCCGCGCAACTGTTATAAATCACAAATACTGCATTAATAGACGTTTCTTCGATTCATCAAAGCCTTAAAAGTGGTATAAGTCTAAAAAACTATCATAAAAATTTCTAAAATTTAAACCGAACTAATTAAAAAAACTGATTTAAATCCATAACAAGTACATGATCACATACAAATAAAGGCCAACTTCGACTTGTCTAAACTTAGAGAGTGAAAAATCAAACTTAAAGAAACTGGCATAAACCAATAATAAGCATATAATCACATACAAATAAAGGCTAAATTCGACTGGTCTAAACTTAGAGAGCGAAGAAACAAACTTATAACTGGTATAAACCACAAACCTTAATATAATCTCATCGAAATACAGGCTCTCTTCGATTAATAAGTTCCAAATACTGTCCTGATGGCGTAGAAATAAAGACATTCTTCAATTTGCCTAAACTTACAAAATAGTAAATCAAACTAGAATAATGTATTGAATAAACTGGTATAATTCACACTTTACCTATACCAATTTTTGATGCTGGGTAAACTTATGTATATATCTATACACATTTAGATCTGTACTTATTATTTATGGCAACTCAATTGGATCAGTTAAGTGAATATTCCAATTTACGTAGGCGCATGTTCTATTTCTCAGTGATACTATTGGCATTAGTTAAAGCTTGTCTTACCGTCTTGTGAGTATTCTTTAATTTAATAAAACATGCTATTTTCTTTGTAAATACTCGAAAGAGCAGATGTGTTTACAAGACTGTCGTCAGTGACTGCTTTTTGCTGCTTACATTTTGTTGTTTATTGCATAATACAAGTGTAAGTCCGCGGTTTCTTTGTTTAATTTTCTTTACTAGATTGTTATCGGTTTTTTTACTAAACGCGAAGCGAGTCAGATGAATTTTTGTTAGACCTTTGCTTACCAGCAAGCTCTTTCGAATCCGATGATATCCTTAAGCAAACTAATAAAGGGTTTGGTATCGATTTACAGTTACTAACGGAACTTTGAATAATGTCCGTTTTGGGCTTAGTGGTCCCTCTGAAAACTCCTGGATCTGGAGCAATTGTCTCCGAGCTTGAAATCATATCTTCAATAATATCGTCTGAATTTCAAATTGCTTAAAAGAGATGCTCCTCAGTTTCTGCAGAATTTTGAGGCGAACCTACAGGGTCTACCAACAAGAACGACTAGATGTTAAAATTAAATAAAACCCTAAAATTTCGTCAAATGTATTCAGCATTTCGGCTATAGCGCGTTGAATGTTGTCGTCGAGCTTTTCAAACGTTGCAGGTCATTTCTAAAAACTAATGGGTCGACAAAGACATGAAACATCAGGCGGCGCAGGGTGTTGTTGGAAATAGAGATCGATTTCATCACATTCCGAAAAAAGTCTATGAATGTTTTTTTTAACATTCTGTTCGAAAACATGAATTCGCCCAATAATTTTGGACAATTTCCAAACGTTTTACCAAAGTGAAACTTGACTTGATGAAATGGCACACTGACAAAAACTGACACGAGTCGTTAAAAAAACATAGCCTCCACTAGTTAGCTGTCAAAATCACGACTGCTTCTATGCTTGACAAATAACAAAGTTTTCTATACGAGAACTTGATTTTTATCGGTATAACGGCGGTTGCTACAAATGAGCAGCTTCCTCTGGAAAAAAGAACGTTCAGATTGATATTTCAAAACCTCTGGAAGTAGTTCGCGTATTTATATACATATTTTATAGGGTTCCCGACGCTTCTTTTAGAGTGTTACGAGTATAATGCGCATTGTATTGTATTGTTTTTGTGTATGTAACTATGAGTGGTTATATATTTATTTTTTTATTACTCCTTCTTAAGTCACATATGTATGAATATAAAAGTGAAAGTGATTAAGCTTGAAATTTAACGCCAGAACGTGAGCTTATGAACCTCTTGCAATTGATACATATGTAAATACATACATATGTACATACGATATATAGTATGTATGTGTAAAATGTATTTAGCAACATAAGTTGTATTCCCATTATTTACAAAAAAATTTTCCCCACAATAACAAATTTTGCAATCATAATTTTATACTGTCACTATAAGTACATTTATTTATTTATTGTAGACACAGTAGTTGCAGTATCGATTAAACATAAACAGAAGTACATACATGATTTACGAGGAATGCACGCGATTGCAGCTAAACGGCTACTGATATCTTAGCGCCAGATTCAATTGTCAAATAGTTTGAAGAATAGCATTGCATTGACAGTTCTTGTACGGCTATAAATCCGAGTCCCGAAAAGCAACTGGTCACCAGTCCAGAGCAGTATGGAAGCTCAACTGGTAGTAGTTTCGGCTACCAGATCGGAGTCGGAGCGCTTAGAGTTCGCTCCAACCTGCACATGCATACTGGCCCATCGAGGAGTATCGTGATGGTTCTGATTAAAATCCAAGTGCGGGAGATTTGACATTTTGTCAGTTGAATATGGAGTTGCATTGCAATCGCTTGCCGGACCCAAAGTACAGCGGACGTTTTAGATAGGTCTCGAACCCTACCAAGTTGGTTAGTGCGTCCATTACCCACGTTAAACCCACCGTACGTTGTCGTTTACTCTATTTAAGACCAAATTTAAACAAAATCCGGAAGTGGAATTTATAAAAGCTTCTTTTTTTATTGGCGTAGATACCGTACTTCACCGACTTCGTTTTCGCTGTTTGGCGCCAATAGGAGATTCCAAGTATAGTCAGGTCCACCTGGTTTCTCTTCCGCTGCTTCCATCGAGGGGTATTGAAGTGTTTCCATCCATTCTGAAGACATGACCTAGCCAGCGTAGCCGTGGTATTCAATGTCGTGGTATATCTCATACAGCAGTCGTCGGAACGAACAGTCGATTTCTAAAAGCTTAGAGGGCAGACAACTGATATAAATCGCAAAAACTAACAAATCAAATAAAATAATGTCAGCCTTCGATATGTCTAAACTTAAAGACTAACACAGCTGATAAAAATATCAAAATATGGACTTTATTGGATCTGCCAACACTTAGCGTGTGGAGAATCGAATAAACAATATATATAAATCATAAATATTTTTATAATCAAATAGTGGGACTGCACCACTTTAGCCTCTACCCAAGGTACTATGTAAATTGATGGATGAAGATCTTTGGTTCTATTTAAATCTAATTTCGTTTGGATTAAGTCCGAGAATGAATTCTTTTCATCAACGAATATAGTTTCAGCAAGATTTTAAGTCAAAACTGAAATATTGGGGAGGCAGCATTAAGGTACTTCTTTTGCACCTGCTGAACTCAAGTTTGCTTCGTATCAAAGAGTCTTTAAGAGCCAGTGAGTCCGTCACTATATTCAAAAAAAAAAAAAAAAAAAAAAGCTCTGCCAATGTCATTCCTACTCACAGAATAATGATAATTCCGGCAGCAGTGTGCCAATATTGCTCTACTCTGCAAGCTATTCTGACGACCTCACCCTTTTGCTGGGAGGAACAGTTGTGTATAACTTGCCGTAATGTTTCCTATTCTAAAAGAAGTATTGTAGCTATTCAATATCATCGCCAACAGTAAGAATAACTAGCTAAAATGATACTCACCGATTGATGTTATATATGTACCTACATACATACATAAATATGTATTTATTATTAGATTTCAGTGGATCGTATATTCGATAGTCGCCCGCAAACCAATACCAAATAAATACATACATATTTATAATTTTAAAAAATGTTTTTATTAACCGGGTCTGGTGAAAAATGAGTTTTATACCCTGAACAGAGTATAGTATATTAAGTTTGCCACGAAGTTTGTCCCCTAGATATATTTATAAATTATCTGCATGTGCTATAAGTGAACTGGCCGGACATAGGTAAACATTTGATTATACTATATACATACGTATGTATGTATATATTACAATAACAATAATTGTTTTTTTGACAATTAAAAAATATACATATACGTACACATACATACATATGTATATAATATAACTTATTTGATAAGAAATTTTTTGGCAAATAGTGCGAATTATACATATTCATATTTTCTATATTACCAAAAAAAAAAAAATTTGTACTTATGTTTTTATTAAAAATACAAAAGGAAAAATTACTATTTTATCAAAACAACTTTTAGCGCGATATTCTCGTGTGGTCTGCTATTCAAATTAATGTGCTTATGTACATACATGCAGACAAATATGTGTGCTTCATTCACTCATGCTCATCAAGAGTGTTTATGGTGATATCATTATCGCATGAGTCCAGATTTTTCAATGTCCCCTTGTAGTATACGCACACAAACTCACACATGTATACACACTTGCGCATATATTTTGCTTACAATTGTTAATCGTCCGAAATGCATGCGGATGTGTACATGGAAGCCGTTTCTTTGAATGAATCATTATTAAACGTTCATACACATTTATTTAAATTATATATATATATATGTATTTGTGGCTTCATGGCTTAAATTACACACTGGATTCATGTACTGTAATTTACAACAAAAGAAGACCGCGCTCACTGCACGCGAATACCCGAGAATTTAATTTAATTTAGTTGGACATTTATGTCTATATAACAAAGGGAAATGAAATTAATAAAATAACATACTTATGTATGTGTGTGCTTGCGTTCTGCGTTTAATAAAGCCGAAATTTTGTGCGCTTGGTTGTATTTTATTCCATAGCGCCCCTCAGAAAATGCTAAAATGCAGCATGTCACTTTATTTCAGACGCGACTGTTGTGTAGTATTTATATGGCAATGCAGTTGTGACTTCTTGAGAAAAAATTGCACAGCTATATCGACTTTTAAATGTCAACGTTTTGTGCGTTTTGACACCAGATTGACACGTCGTAGTCGGCTTACTGCTTCGTGCCACACGATGGCAAGTTCGTAGCATTGTTCGAATAGCAAAACGAATTATCAACTTATTCGTGTCAAACTTTTTACAGCGATAGAAGTAAAACGGTGCGTTGAGGTGTTATTTAGAAATTCATATATTATTCCAATTAGAAAAAAAGAATATGGGTTATTTGAATTTAAATTGCTGAGCAATAATATAAATTAAAAGTTATTTAAACGATTTTAGTTAATAAAAAAGTTGAATTTTGTAAATAAGAAACCCACTTCTTGGTGTCTTTTGCCACGTCAAATTTGTGCAGCACAAGTGCAAGTGAAAGGCGAAAGCTGAAGAATATTAGAATTGCACGTTTACTTGTGTAAATATTTCACAAATCCTAGTTCCCTTGGTACATATTTTAGTATTATACGGAAAGGAATTTCTCGCTTGAAAAACAACTCCTTCGCTTGCATTGTTTGCTTACAAGAAGAACTGTTATGATTTTGTTATAATCGTATATTTTTCATTTCAGGATTTGTGCATTACCCGCCTAACATAACAATTTATTGGTTATCATGGATAAAGTAGTTAAATTCTGCGAACCTGGTCGTGCCTTCGCCAAGGACTCCATTCGTCTAGTGAAACGTTGCACCAAACCTGATCGCAAAGAATTCCAAAAGATCGCCATTGCCACCGCTATTGGTTTCTGTATCATGGGCTTCATTGGTTTCTTCGTGAAACTAATTCACATCCCCATCAACAACATCATTGTGGGCTCATAAATTACACGGCGGCTGCATCAGCTGTATTATTTCGTACATTCATACTTATCTAACGATAGTTAATTTACATATACTCAAATTTTGTTTGTATAAAACATTGAAATGAGTTTATTTTTCATTTAGCAATAAGAGATTAAATATTTGCTTGTTCAGAGATTCCTATATATGTTTTATTCTGTAACTAAAATCGGAAGCTAAGCAGCCAAAATCTGTAATTTATCACAGGTGATGAATAGCTACTTTAAAGTCATTAGGGATATCATACAGATTTCGGCTTAACAACTTTAATAAAGCGAAAAAAAATAATTGGATTTTTATTGCGATAGGAAACGGAGTTGACGTACAGGTACAATCGGTAATAACAAGCTTAACTCATCTTAATCGAAACGGATAATAGTGTAGGTATTAAATAAATATTTATTTACTAAGAAAAAGCTATAAAGTTTAAATTGTTTATATTTTTTATTTATGTTTTTTAATATGTTTATTTATGCTTGAAATATTTTGAGCTCGTAGAATAATGAACTGAACATACCCCAAAATTTGATTGAACCTTCCATGATACCACAAAAAGCTTGACGTTCTTAAAACCACAGTGCGATGAATGATTGTCAATTTTGCGGAAAATTTTTACACGCTATACGTTTATCAAATTAATTGCTGTGTAAAATTACTTCAGTACTGAAATTAAAATTGAAAAATAATCAATAAAGTGCTTTAAAGTATTTGAGAAGTGTTTAAGATCGTTGAACAATAATTATATTGTAAGATTTTCGCGAGATAGTGGTTTAAATTTGCGTTGAATTATCCATCATTCTCAAGGCCAAATTGTACGGCAAGCGTAATCACTTTCCCCGCTTAACGCTTTGTGTGTACACGCAAATTATTGTACATTCCGTATAGTGTGGGTAAAATGGATGAAGAACTAATATTGCAACAGCCGGCAGATCGCCGACTGGGCACTGCAAACACATTACCACCTGGTCCGCCAGGTGCTGAAAATGATGTTGTAGATTATGGTAAGTACATTTGCTTCTAATAAAGAATTAAACTAAATTTATAAACTTAAATACATATTTTCCACAGAAGCTAATAAGCCAAAATCTGAGAAAGAATCAAATAGAAGTTCCACAAGCCGATCCAGTCGACGTCGTTCACCGTCAGGCAGCCCACCGCGATCGAGACGTAAATCTCCTTCGCGTGGTCGACGATCACCATCACCATTAGAAAGTGGTAGCCGTAGGCGGCGACGTTCACCATCACCACCACCACGTCGCAATCGATTTAGAGACTATTCGCCAGATCGACGACGTTTTGATGGCGGTGGACGTAATATGTTCCGCTCACCTGATAGACGACGAGGTGGTGGTGGACGCGACTTTCGCTATAGAGGTCGTAGTAATAGCCGCTCACGTAGCCGCAGTGTTTCGCCACGTAGGAAAGGTGGTAGTCGTTGGTCACCCAAAAAGAAGCCAAGTTCACCACTACCAATTAATGCACCACCACCACCACCTGTCTCTTATACACATCTAGATGTGTATAAGAGACAGCGTAGCCGCAGTGTTTCGCCACGTAGGAAAGGTGGTAGTCGTTGGTCACCCAAAAAGAAGCCAAGTTCACCACTACCAATTAATGCACCACCACCACCACAAGTAACTCAGCCACAAACCCAATACAATCCTATGCCTCCACAACTATATACGAATGATACGTATGCACCACAAGCTTATAATCAATATGCCGTACCACCACCACAACAAGCAGCCGGATTTCCACCACAAACTGCTGCTGATGCTTACGGTATGCAGGCACCAGCACCACCGGTGTTTAATGCTGCGTATCCACCACCACCTGTTTGGACAGCCAATGGTAAGTTATGGGCTAATTTTGTCATATAAATACACTGTTTCCATGGTAAAGTATTTTAATATTTTAGTGAACTACAAATAAAAAGCTGTTTTTATTATTATTTGCAGACGCTTATGCGCAACAACCTTGGATACCTACACCAGATCCAAGTCAACTACCACAAATTGCTCAACAGCCACCACCAGTAGCTGCACCAACAGCTATACCACCACCACAAATTGTGCAGCAACCAATAGTAAACGAACCCACACCAGTTACCATTGAATCAAATTCAAAACACGATGGTATGTATTCCATGAGCTGTTCATTATTTATGTACTAAATTTTATACTATTTCGTGTTATGTATTTTCTCAAAATATACGAATTGATGTCATTCATTACTTTTACAAAAAATTACACACTCGGCTAGTAATATTAAGTGTACCACATAAGTACCAGCACAGGCTCCTTATATCATACACTAGACCACACACACTAGCCGTGCTGTAAAAATTATAGAAAAAAATTGGTTGAAAAAAAAAAAGATTCCAAATGCTCGATGGAAAACTACAACCTCCAGCAGTACTTCCTATGTTATTCAACACAATTTCATCGTACGCACTAAACTTGGAACCAAGAGGGATGCAACGAACGAAACAAACTACAGTTTCATTTATGCATTGTGGCTACACGAGTGCACAATGCTTTGCATTGTCCAAAGCGTAAATAAAAAGAAAATGCAAAATATGCATTTTTGAAATATACTTTTGAATATGCTTTTGTGGAATTGGAGCGACTAATACAATTTTATTATTATTTTCATATGTTTATAGCAGCTGTCGCACAAGAAGCTGAAAATCAACGCGATGAATTAAAACGACAACGAAGCAGTTATCTGAAAAAGACATCATTGCTCCGCCAAGAATTGAAAATGTTAAAGGATCAACGCAAGGATCTACACAGCGGTGGTGCTGCACCACCATCGCCTACAACAAAGGGATTCATCGATGAAAACGAAAAGCTACAGGTATGTCGAATTATGAAAAAATTCATTATGTTGTTAGTGTGTTTTTTAATTTTAATATTATTTTGGTGAGTTAATGCTGTGTAACGAATGCTGGAACGAATAGGCACCTTAAAGTCACGCAGTTTGTCAAATTAGTTTTACAAAAATATTACATGCAATAGTAACAGGCTTGTCAAGCCAGTGAAGTTTGTGCTTAT